GTAGAAGACCGACTCCAAAAGCCTACACGACGCAGTCAAGAAAGACACCATTCCAACCACGCAATGTGAGGACAAGAGGACGTCCATCGACATCTCTCTCATTAAACAAGATTCCTGAGCTCCAAGGTCAAATTCGATGGGTCGACGGACGAACCATGTTGTCAGATTGCCTCACCAAGGAGGCCAAGAGCGACTACCTCCGACACGTGATGTCCACAGGGAAGTGGAGTATTCTCAAGGAGGGTGCGGCACTGCAGCGAAAGCTGTCTGAAAGGCAGGATTCATACAGTATTTGTTTTTCTTCTTTGACACTTTTTGACCAAGATAAAGTATGGTCAGTGCAAAGAGGATAGGAACCGCTTGGTCAAAAAGACCATCGCACCCGGTTTGGCTCAAGCCCGCCATGCAGCAAGGCCAAAAGATCCAGGAGCCCGTGCTTTCCCTGCCACTGCTTGACGGCTTAACGCAATATAATATATGTATATATATATATATATGTGTGTGTGTGTGTGTCACCCCTGTCTCTAAGGGCACTTGCGTTTTCTTTGAGTACCCAAATTCCTGCAGTTGTTGCTCAGTGTACAGAAGCAGGGGGTGGATGCATCGTTAGACAAACATCCACCAACCAAGACACTGCCTTGCCATGGTGACCAAGAAGGGGGCACCTTCTTGAGGTATATACCTGCCTTTAACTTGCTTGCAGGTTGTTTTCATGTTGAAATTTGCGATTCTACGTAGAGCGAAAGCCGTCTCATACACTGTTGCGCAGTAAAGCGCTAAAGTAAAGTGCAAACGCTGTACCTCGAACCAAAAAACACTATGTCAAAACAAACGACTTTTTCGGGGTCTCGAAGTTAACTTTGGACATTTTTCGTGCTTTTGACTCTTCTTGTTTTTAGGGCTTGATGGCTGGAAATGCAAATGTTCTGGCGCGCAGCGTTTTGCAAACCTCGGAGTGCACTTTTGGAAGCACGGAGCGCTGATCTTACTGCAACATCTAGGTCTAATGTCAGATGGCAAAAGCCTGGTAGCCCTTAGCAGCCTTAGCATCCACCGTTGTGGGTTGTGATGGTGCTATGTCACTATTCAACAGCTTTGTCTTGTTTGATTGCTTGTTGCGTGCAGGCGCAGCACTGTGTGCCCTCGGTTGCCTTGCAAAAGGCATCCTACGGTTTAGCCTCTAAATTTTAACCTCGGGCGGCTCACGATACTACAGTATGTTGGAGTTGGAATCCTCTAAATTTCACCTTGGCAGCGATTTGTCTGTCATTGAGTCAGGGAAGAAGGAAAGTAAAGCCAAGCAGGAGAAAAGGCAGGAAAAACAAACCAAGCACAACATCAGCAGCAAAAGCAAGAAAAGAAAAAGGACTCACAAAGAAGCAATGAAAAGCAAGGAAAAGCAACACAAGCACAGAAAAGCAGGAAAGGCAAGGAAAGCAGAGAAGCACTGAGAAGCAAGGAAAAGCAAGACAAACACAAAAAAAGCAGGAAAAGCAACCAAAGCAGCCAGAGGCAGAAACAAACAAAAATCCAAAACAAAATACCCTCCTTTGCTGGCCTTTCACTGAAACACGTTCCTTTCGAGCTTCAATCTCAAGTGGGTAGCATAGTGCCACCTTCCTCCAAGACACTCAACGATGGCTTTCCACTACGCACGTATATAAATCAACCACGGAATCCCTTCCACCTCCCCATCTGCAAGTTCCGGGAAGTGGCCGAAGCCACTCTCCGCAGCAAGCTCTACAACCACAAGAAGTGGGAGAGCCCTCTCACAAACACTCAATCAGCTGCTTCATTACGATGCACCTGTACCACGTGCACACCCACCACACCTTCACATTTTTCTCCAGGCCAACATGAACAACACTTTCTTCCCACTCATGGCTATCCGCATCAACTTTCTACCCTTGCCACCACCTTCCTTGACCAAGAATGGTCTCTCCATCTGGCCACTTAGTGGCATGAACCGCGATTCACAGCAAGACTTCTTACACAACTTCAACAATTCCTGGGCCCGGATATATATATATATATAATATATATTTATAAGCACTTCACCAGACACACCATGAGCTTCAACCGCCTTCGCATGTTGTTGTCCGGCAAGGATGCTTGGCCACATGGAACGGCTCTGAACTTTTCACCCTCCAGCCACAGCTCACTCCACACAGGCTTTCCGCAACAAATACCAGTGGGGCTTTCGTGCATATACCGTCATCTCATACTTCAATCCTCCACACCATCTTACTTCATGTCTCTTCCTCCAACTACCAGGCCGACTCTCAACTCCAGCCCTATGGGCACGTTTACACCACCTTCCGCCGTTCCCTCCAATTCGCCTCAAGCCTCTGCACAAAATGTCTCAAGCACTACGACATACATTCCAGGGGCAACGCCATTCCATCGCCGCCACTACCCCCGAACGCAAACTTGACATCCCCGATCTCACTGACATTGTCCGCATTGCACTCGATCACTGTATTTTACCGCTTGCAACACCATGAACAAACAGATTCAGGGCGCGGGCATGGGCACAGCTTTCGCGGATTCTACAAACGTGGCAACAACATGCAACAACCCTCATCAAGCACGCATCGCGCCAAACCTACCACATGTTTACACACCAACATAACCCCACATTCTGTACCATTCCTATGTCGACAGCAGATTTATCATCACTGACATAAACTCTTCAACGACACTGCCTTTGCAAGCACCAACACATCCCCACTTTTCTGGCGATCCCATCGAACTAAAGCTCGTGCCGGACAATTATCTTCTAGGCGTGGACGTTGACCTACCTCTTCGGCAAGTTCGGTGTATTTAGCCATCTCAACCATGGAGACTTGCCGCAATGTCGAATCCACGAGCTTTCTGAGACTTGGAATGTCGGGCGTGGTGGGCCGAGCTCTCATTAGGGAGGCCATTGCTTCTGGGTGGGCCATTTACATCGTTCCCTCAGCATTGGCGGACAGCCTCCACACGCTCATCCAGCACTATGTTTGCAGATTCAGCCCTCAGACCTGCTGCGCAACATTGTACAAAACAGATTTCTTGTAATTCATTGACCCTTTTGAACAGATCACCTGTTTCAGACTGGAGCCCCAGCCCGCACGTGCGGTTTGCGATGTACCCATTCTACAATTAGTCCAACTCTGTTTCCACCAGAGTGGAAGATACCAGCGAGCACTGACACTTGATCGTCCCCTGACGCTAGCTTTACACTTGTGGCCCTTTGCAGCTTGAGTTAGTCTTTCCGTTCTGCAATTTTTACATTTCTCAGCGGTACACATGGCCTCCCTTCACAACATGGCGTCACGAACCATGAAGAAATGACCACCTGTTCTCAATGGTTGTTCCTTTTATTTAGGGGGTAGGCCACTAGCTAAGTAGAAGAGGTAACTAGTACCTTACTTAAGCTACTAGTATGGACGCAGGATAGCTCATGCTCGCACTAATGATTTGATTTCTAGATTTTTAGGGGAACTTAAGAACGACTTGCGGCGTTTCAGCAAGGATCTAACAGAGACCAGACTCAGGCTCCACCGGCTTGGCAGAAACAGCTGACAAAACATCAATGATCCCCTCACAAGTCCCACACTAGAAGACACCACTGCGACGACCACCAATTGATCCACTTGAACCCCAACCACCACACTTTCCACCTTCTACATCTAATGACTGGACCAACTTGGTAGCTACCATTGCACCAAACAAGGGAATGGACTGACTGTTTCCTCTGAATAGCCTGCAGCCTAACCTAACTCCCACCAATTTCTCACTGTTGCGAAAGCACGGGGTGCTAAGCCGAGGTAACTGCGCCCCTAAAGGGCTGTGCGTTTGTGAGTTTCTTTTAACGTGCGTTTTGCCAGCAAGTGTTTATTTAGGGGTTTGGACCAAGAGTGTTGTTTGGGAGGAGGTGAAAGTGCTGAAAGAGTTGCTCGGAATGGCCGTTTTTAGATGTTTCGCTACAGTTTCGAACACATTCCGATACACTGTGTTTCCGGTGACTTGTTTGACGTTTCGAAGTGCGCGTGCACGAACCGAAGCCGCAAACCCCAAAAAAGTCTGTCATGTCCACTGACCCAATGTACACTTATCCCGCTCACCTGACCTGTCCACAGTGATCAGTGATCATGGCTCCACTTCCAAATTCCTGTACAAGTGTAAGACACTGCCTTTGTATGACTGCAAAAGGTTAATACCATTAATTGTCACAGCACTGCGTAGCCACTGCAAGCATATTTGACATGCTACATTAAAAAAGAACGGCCGTCCAGGTGAGCCGTCGGCGATGCTAGCAACAAGAAACCGAAAATCTTGACATTTAAGGACCAAAGATACTACACCAGAATTACTACACCTCTCTCTGGCCAAAGATACTTTTGCAACCTCCCCGTCCATAGCGTAGCATCAAGTATGTAAGTACAAGTGACGTCAATAGTGCAAGTGACATCAAAGCCACGAAAGCTACAAATGCAGTTTACGCATGGCCCCTTAGGGGCGCGGTTACCTAAGCCGAGCACCCACCATGCAAACATGTTGTGAACACCCAGTGCACAAAGGATTATATACTATGACAGAAAGGTTCCATTTGCACATATATAACATAACATAATTAGTTGCACTTCCAGTGTTGCTTCGTCTTTCAATTGGCAACTCTCATTAGAGACTACAGCCGTTAGACTGCAACACATCAGCCTCTGGTTCTTACTCTCTCCTCTTCCCTGTTGCGGAACTTTGCAAAATGTCGCGTTACTTCGTACAACTTCCTGCCCCATCCTTTGCGAAACGCTACAATTTCTCACTTCTCTTGTACTCACCTCGCCCATCATGGACTATGACATCCTAAGCAGGACCATCAACTCATAGCGTTAAGATGCTTTCAGCCCACTAAACTACAAGCTGAAAGCGGAACTTCTCCTGTTTCCTGGCTTGCCTTTCTAGTTGAGGGGGGGTGTCAAGTTGGCTTTCAGAGATCACTCGAGCTCCTTAATTTTGCCCGTGGAATCGCTCAATTGCTCCGTTGCTTTGGCGGCTATTCTACAGACGACGAGCTCGATTGGCTACATCGTAAAACAACTCAGTTGAGCTATCCTGATGACTTGTCAAACTATGTCTCTTGCTTGGCTGCAAGGCTGAGGGGCTAGTAGTTCTTGGATGGGTCGGTTGAAATCCTGCACTATGCGCACTGTGTGCTCAGCTGATATTTCATGCAGTCCTCCTCTTTGAGGAAGAGAGGAAGCCAGATCAGGAACACCTCAACTACTGCACCAAAATCGTCCAATGGTCTGTGGTGTAGTGAGAGTATCCTGGCTTGTAACAGGACATTAGAAAATGTGAACCCTTCATCTTGTACTCAAGTGGAGCTTTGATTGGTCGGCTCAGCTGGTCACCCTTTCAAACATTCAGTGGCCATTCGCAATGTCCTCACAGAAAGCACTTGTGGAGGACAGATCGGCAGCAACAGCGATGTGCCTCATCCCTCCCAGGCGCCTTTTCGCCTGCTTCCATTCCCGCCAACCTCCAGCTGCATTGCGCAACGAAGTTTCGAAGGGACTACCACCCAGCTGGGCTCAAGGACCATTCCTCCCAAAAAGATGCTGCTGTCACAGCTGCCAGGTCGTCTGGGTGGTACCTAGGCCCGACTTTCGGCTGGTACACAGTACAATACAACGAAAAGTGCTCTTGCAGAAGTTTTTTGCGAAAGTGCTCTTGCAGAAGAGTCCAGGCTTTCTGCTGGTCCACGCAGCCAGGATATTCATCTGAGCCTGTCAGTATTTGCTACACGGGAATCAACCTTTTGCAATATTTGCCAAAACTAGTTGGCAGTGACTTTGTCTAATTTGTCACTGTCTACCATCGTTGAGTCATAGATTCTATAGATGCCAACACACACTTGTATAGTGTAGATACAGTAAATTATGTAACGATTACATAATCAGTCTATGCAAGTATCCAGGGGCTTCTTTTTGCAGTCAATTCGGATCCAAAAAGTCTGTAGTGTGGGGAAAATCAAGGGTTCTAGTCTAAGTTCCGGTAGTGTTGATCGTGGACTGCCTCCTCGGTGCAACTCTTTCTCGCTCTAGCTTCACGGGTCAGTTGACCCTTGAGCTCTCTGGTATGACATCCTAAATCTACTTCACGGAAATTAAAAAGCGCCAGGATTCTAGGTTGGCCATCTGCCAACCTATTGGTCGCACCATTCATTTGCATTTTGGCTCACAAAAGCTTTGCTCATTGGCCACAGCAATCACCTGAACCCAGTATTTGATGAGTGGGAAACCATCACTTCAATTGCGACATACAAACTGCATTTCAGCGCCTGTGCCTTACTAGTAATCCAACTTTTCCGGTCTGAACTCATCAATGACCATTCTCCTGGGCAGTGTTCAAGGGACTCTTGATGCATCTTGCAGTCTATTTCGATCAGTTTGTCCTCCCATTGAAAACGGCATGGTGAAGGCCTTCGTAGGCACGATCAGCCTGGCAAAACTGAATTTAGTGACGTACTTCGCTGAGAAGCTTCTCTGAGGTACTGGCAGCAGCTACTGTGCCATACTGCACAATGCCCTTGCCTTTGAAGTGCCCCTCCTGTCGCGCAGTACGTCTTCAACAATCCTGTCAAACCAGTATGATGACATGCTGAATATGGATCGTCATAGCGAGATGCCAGAATCAGAAACCTTTCTTACACAGTAAACATATCCATATATACAAGTAGATCACACCCACACCTAATAGCGCAAGCTCCACTGCTGACAATAATGTAGTCAAGTCAACAAAATGCAAGCCATCACAAGCCTGTGTTCTGAGCAAATAAATCGTCTTGATGGGACCAAAGTTTGCAAACCTTGAACACAAAAAAAAGCAAGCGAACGCTGCGAGACTTGAGAGAGGCGTGAGACCGTGGGAGAAAGGCTTGAAGGCACGGCCTGTGTCGCAATGAAGCTTCAGTGCTTTCGTACGCCACGTTGGCAAAGAACAAGCTCTGGCAGTCAAAGGGAAGTTAGCAAGCTGCTGAGGCATCTGCTTTGCATGCGCTTTCTGGTACCGGTTTGCAGACGCATTTAATCCCTCGTGGTACAGCAAGTCCTGTCATTTGAAATGACCCGCAGAAACAAACAGAGTGACTTCAAAGTGTGTCACTATGATCAACATTCTCTGTGGACGATGGCCCTCAGAGCACAGGAGCCATTCGTCTGCTTGGCAGACGATTGAGCTCAACTTGATGGCAACTTCTTCAGACAGCCAGAGCCCTTGCTGCTGACTGGTGAAAAAAGTTTGTGTCTTGTCTGCTGCTCAACAGCAGGCAAAATGCTGGACTTGCTTGCATTCTCCGATCAGGAATACCCGTCTCCTGTACCTCCAAATGCAAAGTTTAGATAAAGCTGGGGTACGCAATGGACAAAAATGACAAAGGTGTTGTTGGGCAAAACTGAGTCAACAAGGATGGGCTTTAAGGCAGCCCAGTCTGGGAAAAGCTCAGCTTACGGCCAAACTGGGCAAGCACCATTTGCAAGCTGTTCAACCAAAGGTCGCGCCTTAAAAAGTCTGGGACTCCGACATTGTTCACAGAAAGCTCTGAGAAAGAGGCAAAGACTTATGAATGCCTGAGTGAACCACTTCTCCTTGGAACCTGCATCCAGGTACCAAGTCCTTCGAGAAGGCCCTGACAAGACACACATGTGTAAAGCCTTGATATCAAACGATCAGAATCGTCATTCTGCATCACACATGATACAGTACCTATTCTGTTCGCCTTGATAAATCTCGATGCCAAAAGGCCTCTTCACACCAGCACGGCGTCCCTGGCTTAGAGTCAGAGCCACACTCCAAGCAAGTCAAGAGCCAGACTTAGTTCCAAGCCTCTTCAGTGGCCGTTGGATGTATCAACGGGCGGACCTGGGAGTGTAAAGAATGGCACGTAAATTAAAGAGCAACAGTAAAATGTTTTGATAAATACGTGATGTTCTGCCTGGTTTGTCGGCTGGGAATCCCACTCTAGTCGACTTGTCCAAGAAAATCTGCCACAAAACTCTTGGAGCGAAGTGAATCGTGTCAAGCTGAAAAAGAGGAAACAAAAATTGCTTGCACTCGTCATCTCCTACTCCACGCCTTTTTGTCTTGGGAAGCTTGCTCCTGCTTGCATTCAAGAAACTGTCGTGTGTCGCAGGTCAGCCACTGAAAAAGAAATCCATGTTGAAATTCAGTTGTGCAGAATGCCTTGCCATAGCTAAGCACCTGCAAGAAAGCAGCAAGGAGACAGCACTACACATCGTGGAACTCTCTTGACTCTTGCTGTACTTTGACATCTGCAAAGCAGACAATACAGTCCCATTGTTGTCTTCGAGGTGGAAAATGAGGCTCCCGCCCCATTGTAATTGAGCACAAACCAGCGGTTCATCCAGGTCTGCAACACTTGCAATTCTTACTGCAAAGCTTGCTCCGTTCCGACTTGTCTCTCAGTATCCTCTCTTTAGACATGATGCAGTTCCAGCTCTATTGAGTGCCAGCGACCTTCCCCATGTCTTGTGCTCGCTTAGAAAGCCAACCTTCAACCTAAGGAACTGAGAAAGGTCAAAGAGTCAAAGGGGTTGAAGGAGATCAAAGCAAAGGGGTTGAAGCAATGCAAAAAGTAATTAGCTTCCGACAACCGGACCTGGTGCCACTCCTTTGGCCGAAAGTGTTGTAAAAATGTCATGAGCATCATGAACCGGCGGCATAGCCTGGAGTACAGCCAGGCATCGGCATTGGCGGCATAAACCTCAGACAGGAAGTTGCTTCGCACATTGAATCGAGAGAAGATTGTGGGCCCTTTAGATATTTGATTTAAAAAAATACATTTAAAAAATAACAATAAACAAAAATATAACTAATAATAGAAACAGTAATAGTAATAATAATAGTAATAATAATAGCAATAAAAATAGTAATAGTAATATATATATATATATATGCCCCCGGGGATCAGCGCTTGCTACGCAATTTGGGAGGTTGATATCTACAGTAGCTGCACGCGATGTTTGAATCAATCTGAAGGAAGCGTCAACTACCTCGCGCCTGACCAAACAAAATTGTAAACCAAAGTCCATCAATGCAACGTTGACGACTCTGTGCTTTACAACAGAACCACTCCGATCAACTATGCACAGGGGGAACACAACAACCTTGAGATTCAGCCAGCATTTGCATTCTGTGTCTTGTCACAACATTTTGATGAGTCAGATTTGTCTGGGATTCCTGCATGGGTGCCTGCATTGGTGCCGTGGTTTCCACGTACTGCCAGGAAACCTGAACATCAACCTTGCCGGAGTATGACGGGTGGCACGAATGTCAAGCTGTTTTGGCAAATGTTCACGTTCCTTTGCGTTGATGTCCCAGTTGGATTTTTGTAGGGACCTTATGTAACCTACTCCGTCCCCTGATATGCAAACCAGTTTGAGCACATGTTCAGAATCTGTGCAATTGGATGTGCGGATGCGCCTGTGGTGATGCTGAAGGCATCTGCGGAAGCATCTGTGGAGGTCCCTGAGTCCCACACCTTACACAGGCTTTCAGGAAATGAGAGTTACATATTCCCATGCAAACCTCGTACAAATAAATGCAATCGCCTCAAACATGACCAGCTTAATGACTCCTATATCGCCCACCCTGGCCTAGCCTACCTAGGTGGGGTGGCGCCTGGGATACCGAATCTTCTGACCTTGGCCTGTTTCCTTGCCCTGCGGGGAAATGTATGGTATATGTACCTCTGTCAGTGGGTATCGAAACTGCCGTCGGCCGCTTTCAAGCACAGAATTAGATGGACTATATATAGTTGACTAAAGCTGTGGCAATGCATTCTTTCGTGGTGTGTTTCTGCTGCCGTGGCTCGGCACTTTTTTGGTATGGTTTTCAGACATTCGTGTGGCCCACATGTACCTCTTTCAGTGAATTCCGAAACTGCTGTCTGGCAACAGCTGCTGACCCCTCCCGCAAGCACCGGAAACGAGGCGGATCCCTCGGCCAAGAATCATTTGCTGCACTGCTGCACATAACCTACACTACAGTAGAAACACGGTAAAAACCAGGGGATTTGGTTCTGAGCGCAAAAAAGGTTGTAGATACCGTCATTGTTGGCTTGCCGAAGTTCAAGGACATTGGTAAGTTGAGCGTCTTTTTCTTGGACTCACGGAGAAAGAAAGAAACATGGTGTGTGGTTCCCACTGCAAGAACCACGTGAAAATACAGTGTTTTTGTTTTGCAGTCGCGTCAAAACGGCGTTCGGGCACCAGCGTGTTTACGACCACCACGACCACCACCATCCACCACCACCACCACCACCACCACCTCCACAGTTACAACAGCAACAACCACAACAACGGCAACCACGACAACAACCCTTATGACATTGCAATGTGCGTAGTAGCTCCACGATTCTCCACCGGAATGTCAAAACACCACTAAGTTTCCAAAGTGCCCCTCCTCATCTAAACCGCGTCTGCTTCCACACCCCTGAAATAGCCGAGGTTCAAGAACATCGGCAATTTCAAAAAAATCATATACGCGCGCGTGCAACACACCCACCAACTATCGACGAGAAGTAGAGACTGATCAGAAAAGAGGACAGAAAGATACAGGACGATGAAAGTGAATAAGATGAGTGGTGTGTGACGAGTGGTGTGCGATGAGTGTGATGAGTGGTGTGTGATGAGTGGTGTAAGAAGAGTGCTTTGTGATGAGTGGTGTAAGATGAGTACTGTGTGATGAGTGGTGTAAGCAGAGTGGT